TAGGTGGAAAGGTCATGAGGAACTTCATAATGGATAGATTGTTCTGACATCATCTGAACTCGGTGATTAAACTTATTTAACACCTTGAAAGTCAGACTACCACCTTTGAAATACTCCTGAGGGGCAGGAAAGAATCTGAATGTAATCAGGCTTCTAGAGCTAACTACCAGTTTTCAAAATAAGAGGATAGAAATCCATTAAGTGAGACTGCAGGGATTCAATTAGTCAAATTTAGTATGTAGAAAATGAGTAACTATTAGAGATTATAAATACTTAAGGTATATACCAGCCGAATGTAATTGTTTGGATCCTTATTTGAACAAACTGTGAAAAGACAATTTTTGAGAAAACTATGGACTGCACATGAAATGATATTAAGGAATTGTTTAATTTTGTTGACGAAGGTTAGTTTTATTATTTTAAGTCCTGATTAAGTCCTCATCTATTAGAGACATATAGTTAAATATTTGAGGGTGAAATTCTACACAAGGATTTGCCTTAAGATGCTATAAAGAAAAAAAAATCTTAGAATTGATGAAACAAGAATGACAGCGCTAATGGTAATTGCTCTGCTTTTGAGTGTTTTTGGAATTTTCCGCAATAAAAGGCTTAAAAAGTACAATGTTTCAACTTTGACTAATGGTAGTCCATCACCTTCAGGCTAATTTCTTGTCCTTTTCATGTATCTTCTTATTTTGTGATCACTTTCTTGCTTTCTTACAGAACAAGATGCCCAGGTTCACTTTCTACCTTTGCTGCTTGAGTAGTTACCTATTGCTATGTAACAAATTACTCCAAAATTTTAGAGGCTTAAAACAATAAGCCTTCGTTATCTCATACAGTTTCTGTGGGTCAGAAATTTGGAAATGGCTAGCTATTCTTTTGGCTTTAGGATGTCTCACAGGATTACAGTCAAGACATTAGCCACGGCTTTAGCATCTGAAGGTTTGACTGGGATTACAGAGTCCACTTCTACAGTGGCTCGCTCACATGGTTGGCATGTTAGTACTGACTGTTGGTAGGAGATCATAGAGATTCACAACATGGACCTCTAGGACTGTTTGAGTGTTCTCATGACATGGCTGCTGACCCCAGAGTGAACAATCCAAGAGAATAAGGCAGTCACTACTGTGTCTTTTATGACCTATCTTCAAAAAACACACAGTATCATTTGCTCAGTATCCTATTGGTTATACAAGTCAGCCTTATTCATTGTTGGAAGAGATGCTACAAGAGCATGAATACCAGGAAGTAGGGATCACTGGTGGTTATCCTGAATTCTGGATTCCACACTACCCTATGACAGGAATCAGCCATTTTTCCAGTGAACCATGGTTCCTTTTAATAGAGAGTGGTATTTAAAGATCAAAATCTTGGCACCAAGAATATTTATTGTTAATTGGTTATCATTTCTGCTAGGAACTTTTAGTAGACAGATAAGAAATATATATTGATGACAGAAATATATACATTTATATATATATATATATATAAAATAAAAAATATATATAGATGATAGAAACACATTTAAATCCTATATTCATACTGATATTTCTGACTTGAATTTAGCCTAACAGTGTTTTTACCTCTTTGATTTTATAAGTGTTTTTTTCCTTTCCACTTTTATTTTTTTGAAATAGGTAAAACATTTATGTAGTTAAAGTCAAAACCATGTGAAAAGATATATTCAGAGAAATCTTACTTATATATCTCTTTCTACCCCCCATTTTTACCAGTACCCATTTTTATTTGTTTCTGGTTTATCCTTCCATTGTTTCACTTTGCAAATATAGGTGTATGTATGCACATAGACAGATGTGAGGGTACTTCAGGAAGTTCATGGAAAAGTGGAATTGAAAGATAATACACATCTTTCCATGAACTTTTTGAAGACCCCTTGAATATGTATTCTTATCGCCATTTCTCCTGTTCCCAGTCTTTCACAAAAGATAGCATACTTTAACATACTGTCCTTTGTCTCTCTTTTTTTGTTTAGTAGTGTATCCTAGTTATCATTTTGTATTATTTCAAGATCTTCATTTTCTCATGGCTCTATAGTATCCATTATATTGATGTTCTACTGAAAGTCACCTACTGACAGTCTTTTGGATTGTTGCTAGTCTTTTCCTACTAGAAATAATGTGTAGTGGATAATCTTGTGCATATGTCATTTCATATTTGTACCAGGTGTGTTGGTGAGATAGATTGCTAGAAGAGGGATTGCTAGGTCAAAGGAAAAATAAGTGTACAATTTTGTTGAGTATTGGCAAATTCCTCCTTCATACGTGTCCTGCCATTTTTGCTGTACCATCAGAGGTATTGTAAGGACTAGAGAGTTCACGTATATAGAATATCTCACATAATGATCATTTAATCAAAAATAGCCATTTTTCTAAAATCAATATCTTTAGGTCTTTCATACATTGTCAAATGAGTTTCAAGATTTCTCAATGTCCTGACTAGATTCCTAGACATATATTTCACTTTATATGTAAGCCCTTTAATTACTTTANATTTTTCTAAAATCAATATCTTTAGGTCTTTCATACATTGTCAAATGAGTTTCAAGATTTCTGAATGTCCTGACTAGATTCCTAGACATATATTTCACTTTATATGTAAGCCCTTTAATTACTTTGTACAGAACTAAACACAGTAGTTGTTAGATCATTCCAAAGTGATTATTTTATGTGCTTTAAAAGTTGAGCAGCAATCAGATAAGTGCTATTATTTCTTTCACATATTCTTAAACGTTGGGATTTACATTTATAAAATGGCAATTTATATTGGAATGTTTCTGTTCTATAAAACCATTCAACATTATGATGGTAAATCCCTTCCAGATAATAACAAAATGCAGAATACTTGAAAGGATTAGCTTAAGCTGAGCTTGCATTTTAATATTTTATTTTTGAAATCATCTGTGTTTTAACAAGTTAGGTAGGGCCAGCCCGGTGGCGCACTGCTACAGTGCGCCGCTTGGGAGCACGGAGGCGCTCCCG